CCCCTCTCGCAATCGTGGGGGGCCCCCCCCCACTGCCCCACCTCTGACTGTGGATTCCGAGGCGAGGGTAATCTCATCAGCCACACCTGAGGATTCTGCGGACGGGGAAGAGGAGGACGAGCTTGCAGAGAGCACCCAGCACTCCGTTCTCCCCAACAGCCAGGATCTTTTTCTCAGCCTGACTGAAGTACCCTCCCAAGCCTCCCAAGCCAGTACCCAAGACCATGGATGGGACCTCAGGTGAGTTTACCTTTTAAAATATAAAACATGGTTTAAAAGCAAGCGTTTTTTAATGATTAATTTGCCCTGAGGACTTGGGATGCATTTGCGGCCAGTACAGCTACTGGAAAAGTCTGTTAACGTGTCTGGGGATGGAGCGGAAATCCTCCAGGGACATCTCCATGAAGCTCTCCTGGAGGAACTCCAAAAGCCTTTGCAGAAGGTTTCTGGGCAGTACAGCCTTATTCCGTCCTCCATGGTAGGACACTTGATCACGCCATGCTAGTAGCAAGTAATCTGGTATCATTGCATGACAAAGCCTGGCAGCGTATGGTCCCGGTGTTTGCTGGCATTCAAGCAACATCCATTCTTTATCTCGCTGTGTAATGCTCAGAAGAGTGATATCGCTCATGGTAACCTGGTTGAAATATGGGAATTTAATTAAGGGGACAGAGGTGGCCGTTCCTACTGGGCTGTTTGCCCGTGGCTGAAAAGAAATCCTTCCCTGCAGTTAGCCAAGCGCGGAGGGCGGGGGGGGATTGGCGCTGAGCTTTTCGCGTTTGGCTAGCAGGGATCTTCCCTGATACCAGCCACGCGGTGGGGGGAGGGATAAAGCGATCATCCTAGAGAATTGGATGGGGGGGGGTGTTAGTTTGTTTTCTGCTGCTGAAGATTAACAGGAAAACCGCAGCAGTCAACGGGCTTTGCTTGGTATGTGGGAAAGGAGGGCGCAGAAGCCGAAAGACAATGGCTTACCATGGCCGCATGCAAGCCGAATTCTGTTGCCCAGACCTGCGTCTGTGATCTCTAACAACAAAGCCACAGGCACTCAATATTAAGATGGAAAATGCGACCTTGTACTGAAATCACATGTGCTATGTAATGTGAATAGTGTTTTTCACCGTGAAAGAGTATAAGCATTGTTCTGTAAAATGTATCTTTTTAAAATCTTCTCTCCTTTTTCCCATCCCTCCAGCAGCTGCAAATTTTTCAAGCCTCCCTCCTTCGTCCCGAAGACTATCTCAGATAAGGCGTCGGAGAAAGAGGACATGAGACAAGATGTTCTTGGAAATAATGGAATGCACCCGCAATGAAAGAGCTCATTTGAATGAGTGGAAGGACACGGTGTCTAAGTACAGGAAAGATGCCAGTGAATGTGAGGTCATGAGGGATGCTCGAGATT